AGATGACCCGAGGAGCGCACGAAAGGCAGTTGCACGTAATAAACCCCAATGTAGAACAAGTCGTGAGGATCTACACCATCCGTATGGTGCCCCAATTGACTTGGGTTACTCGTTGGTGCCCTGGTCTGACCTCTAACCCAAGTCTAACCTCTGAAGTTCAACCGTTTAAAACGGTTCAGACCGCCAACGGAAAGAGGCGTACCGAAAACTTGACAGTCCGCCCGCGTTTCGCAATAGTCTACATGCATGTATTTGTCTACGTATGAGGTTGGCAAACAAGAACGCAGAACGTATGTTGCCAGGGAGACACCGTGGAGTCTCCATATCAACCGTGTGGTTAGGAAATTCCAAGGGGACGAAGACACAATCAGCCAACATCCACCCGAAAGAACAGTTGCATCCACCCGACAATTTTGAAAACTTGGCCGGGTCGAACACTCACTCACACTCACTCACACTCAACTCCTCGCACGGTCGTTCATTACTAACGCCACCCCACTAGTCTCCATTTCCCGACTACTGCTGAACGGGCTAAACCCTCGTGGTATCACCAGCACCACTACCGTGCTTACACTTCCGTCATAGCGACGGATACACTGCGATAAGGTGCTACTTAGACCAACAGATCCAATGTCCTCGCTCCTGCTGCCACTGCTCTTCCTAGGCTGTTCAACGTTCTACGGCCAGTGCGCCACCATATCGATCTCTCCGGGAGGCACCGCATTTCAGGTACAGACAACGTGGTTGTAGTGTGGAGCGCCTTTTGAGCCTCGATAGGTTTTTGTTTGAGCCTCCGTCAGTTCTCGGATGCTCCGGGATCAACATGATCAAGGTCTGGAAATTCAACACCAATGTCGAATGGACACAACTATCGGAGATTGTCGGCGGAACTCGTCACTATATCTATGTGCATGTGCAGCAGTATCGGTATACTGTAGCTTCGTCCAAGGTTGTGTGTGTGCGTGTCGCTTTATACAGTAGAGCCTCAGACTACCTAATAGATGTTTTCTTTCGATACTCGGACCGTCATATCTGGGGAAATTAGCCCCGGCAACGTGTCCATGCTTCGCCGTAAAGGCGCAGGCCATGCCGACACTCCAATGAGTAACGTCATTGAGTCATGACTTCGCTCATGACCCCCGGCTTCGTGACCCGCTCATGATCAGATCATGACCGAGTCATGCGACGAGTTTGTACGTAGTGTGGGGCGTATTCGAACACTGTGTGCAGGTTAGATGCTCAGTTTCGGTCCGATTCCTTCCTCGTCCTTCCTTTCTCTCCCAGTCGCTCGCTATCGCTCACTCCCAGGCAACACTAACACGTGCCAGAGGGAACGTCATACCTTGCTCGTGCTGCCATTCATGGTTCCGTTGCTTGCTTCAAACTCGGAACACAACAAATCATCTACTGTAATGTTGGCAGTAGTGGTGGGTGTATTCCACAGGATACGCACGAATGTTCGGCCAGATGCTGGATCATGATCCAGTCATGATCCTGCCACGATTATGATTGTGTCATTGCCGGGTCAACATGAGTTGGGCCAAGACCGTGACAGAGATGATCATGTCATGATCGGGTTATGACCCAGTTCATGCCCGTCACGACAGAGCCAAGACCCATGATCGGGTCATTGCTGAGCCGTACCCCGATCATCCCGATCATGACTGAGTCATGATCAAAACCCCTCCATGTAAATATCAAAGCCCGCCGGTTGGGAATGGATTTCGCGGGGTACCACAATCAATCTTCGCCGTAGACCTCAAGACCGAATCATTACTCATGTGCGTATGTGAACCACTTTCATTCAGCAAGGGAACAACCAAGCGTAGAGCCAAGATATACGAAAAATGCTTGGCCCCACTCTTTGAGCAGGTTAAATGTACGTACAGTAGTCTGAACCGTTTCGGACTTTGAGTACACTGTACTTCAATCATCCACTCAAGGTTTCCACGTGCGAACCGCTGCACTGATTGGCACAACGCGCTACTTGCTGGCCTCAGGATGCCCTCGATGAGGTCAACCCTGGTGACGTCATCGAGGTCGGGCACGGAGATTACTGGGAAGATATCAAAACAACGGTGGGTGGACGGCGGTGTGGCCTCGCATGTGCACTCAGGGTTGTCTGCATCTACAAAAGGCCATCGCGTGTACAGAAGCCCAGTCAGAAGTGGGAGTTCTACTGTAGTACTGCTGTCGTCGGTTGCGATACCATTGAGCGCCCACAAATGTTAGGCGTTCTTTTTTATTTTGAAGGGTCCCACTCTGCTGTGCCGTCGAACCTGTCGAGCAATGGCGTCTCGTGAGAATAGCACTGGACGGCCGCTTCTCGCGGCCAAGCCTTGATCTCGGTTCATTCTCTCACTTCATCGTCGCCGCTCTGTAGATCGATGGAACGGCCGACATGCCGATCACTATCCGCGGGGCTGGGGGGACGGACGACAGAGACAACGTGGTTCTGCGCGGCGATGGCACTAGCAGCAGGGTCTTCGAAGTCAAGCACGACTACTACATCATCGAGGTGCGAATATCGTCGGCTACGGCGCCGCATGCACTGCGAAAACATCATGACTACTTCACTGTGTATATATTGTTAGTGGGCCGAACGCAGCCGCGCATTCATATCGGTCGTTGAGGACCGAAGAACTCCAAAGGATAGGCCAACATGGAGGTGGCCTGTGATGGCGAAGTGCCATCATGACAACTGAAGCGCTGCTTCGATGCAAATCATTGGTACCACACGTAACCGGGCAGGCGAGTATACTTACTCTATGCCGCAATATACCTATTGGATGTCGCATGCTAGCGATCGAGTCGCCGAGTACATGGGCGACGTCATGGGCGTGTGGTGCATGGTATTTTCGTCTGGAGCGTTGTCGTGCCCTTTGGCGCTTGTCATAGTATCAGGCCTGCCTCTAAAGGCATTCGCGAGCAAGGAGTGAAGAGCATCATCACTCGACCATGCGTGTGGCGAACAACCAACTATCAGACGCTGTGGTAAAACGAACAATTCTTGCCGTGTCCGCTCGCCCCAACCAGGACTTCACAGTGAACGGAGACGCGGAAGATGATCCAGACCGCGGTACGGGTTCCGATTCCATCAAGGAATTGTGGCGCGACATACTAATCTACGCCACCGGTAGGAGATTTCCCAACCATGGCGTCGTTGCTTTGGTGTAAGCGGCTCCCTTTGTAGAGGTTTCGTTGATACTGTTGTTTCCGTTGCCAAGATCGTCTCGGGGCCCCATCCCAAGGTTGTTCGCAACCCTCCACAACGACAAGACCACAAAGTTACAATACCACAAAGGAAACGCTTGCAACGGGAAAGCTTTGGCTGGACAAGTGCAGAGGGGTCCGTTCCTCGCGTCCGTTGTACGAGAAACGTGCTGATGGTAAACCCTAGTGGCCCGTCGTCGCCGATGTCTGGCCATTTATTTGTCTTGACTGTCAACGTTGGCATGGCCCCTGTGGCTATCCACGCGTGCAACGAAAGCTCAGGCCGCTACTCCCCCTCCCACCTATACTCACCCAGTTCGTTGTAACGCATGGATGTTGACCGTTGTTTCCACTCCCTCCGTCGGTCAACCAGGCGGGCGGGAGCCTACCGAAAGAGATGGGGGCTATGTTTCTGGCATAGACGGCCTGGTAATTCGCAACATGGCGATTGCCAATGCCGGTGGCGAGTGCATCCGCTTACGCGGTAAGCGGAGAAGCAACAAATAGTGTTCTCGTCGCACACACGGGGTCCGTCTCTCGCATGCGAAGTGCGGTGACCAACTATTCGTTGCCGTCAATTTCTTCTCGCACGAATCGATGCTAACTGCCGCGTTCATTCGAAAACGTGAGCGTGCTGTGTCGCGTGTTTGAGTGTCTGATGCTCGGTCGTACGCAGTGCTTCAAGGGCGTGCTACGTGCAAATTTCCCTTGTCTCCGTGAAGCCAGCTGTTCTTCAAGCAGTCTCCAGTTGCGTCTCAGAGGACAAAGTCTGACTGCGTCTAGAGTGAACTCATGCGCAGGCGGCACAAATTGGAATCACTATTGTTAACACCTCGAACCATTTTTCCTTTCGGCGTTCGTGCTCTACTTCCACCAAACACGCGGCCGCTCCTGCCGCTGCCCATCTTTCCTCTCAAGACCACGTGACGTACGCCGAGGTGTACGGCAACACTATCACCGACTGCGGTAAGCTTCAGCCATAGCCTTTTTCAATGCCTTAGCACAAGCTCCACATCGCTGACACCAGGGCTGGCGAACCCTAGTACCCAAACAATAACCTCCACCCCACCCCATCTCTTGCTTTCCGACGCTCCCGTTCCCGTCTTCGTGCGCCCAGGAATCTACGACTTCAGGTTCGAGTAGCCCCAATGCACCCAGGCTCGACCTGATTCGACTTGAAGAGCGGCGCGTTCTTGACATGTCAAGCGATTTTTCCCGAAATACCTCGCGTTACGCGTTTACCGGTGGCGGGCCTGGGTGGTTTGTTTTGTAGTTTGGTGGGGTGCGCAGAAAAAACCGGTGCAAGCGAACCCGTCAAACAGTTTGTTGTGCGGGGTGGAAAAGAGAGTGGCCGCTTCGAAATTCTCTGTTGCAGTCACAGTAGCGCGTCACGCCCGCACCTCTCGCTGGTACGTTCTGTTCCAATTCTTCTTCCCTCCACCCTTTCGGCCTTATCCTCCGTGTCATCTCCTTCCTCCCGCTCCCTCCCCCCCCGGGCTTCCACGCACCTGAAGGGAAGAAGGCACTGAGGGCAAGAACGGGGAAGGTGTATGTGAGTGGGACCAAACAACGAGAGTACTCTGGCGTGATTTATTCCCGGGGTAGGCGTGCGGTTGCAGTCAACAATGACAGGAACTGTCGCACAGTTTGAAGCATGACGGTGCCGTTAACAACGTCCAACAGTTCGGATTCTACGGATTTTAGTCAAGCACCTTGCCGCAATGAGCGTCAACGATGTCCTGCTGAGGCTACGCCGAAAGTGTACGCTTCGTGCTTGGGTCCCCCGCATGGGCCAGGCGTCTTTCGGAAGTGAGAAATGTGTAGGCAACTTTCGCCACTCATAGAAACGTTGGACAATACACCCAAATCATGGTACAGTGTGTGTGTGCTTCGACATGTTTATTGTCTCCCCTCTGACATGTTTCGATGGTCAACACGCAGATATCGGAACCTCCAGCACTCAGTGGGACGACGGTGACAATTGGAGTGACGGGCCGGACGTGTGCCAGGGTATCACAGTCCGTGACAACTTCATCAGGACAAAGGTAAGGGAAGAAGAATCGAACCTCGTCATCATGCTTACCACGAAAACAAATGTGCGCATTAACGTCATCGTACATCACTGCATGATATGTTGGTTAGAGCTGCACTTTGTCATACGTCGTGCCAGAACCAAGCATCACAGCGTCATGTTGCGACAATTATCGCGAGCTTCATGGCATTTGACACGAGGTTGGTGATCTCAAACGGACAGACAGGTTTAGAATCGAATCGAAAAAGGCAGGAACCTGTTAGTTGCCGGACTCGAAGCCCGACAACGACGCAAAGCGCAAGTTTCCCGCAAAACGATTGCCCGTTGTGGTTTGATGCTTGGCGAATTGGGGGTGAGGTGAGACTCTCTGCGATCTGCTAATAGGGCGGTGTACTTTATGCAGTTGCGGCCGCTCCTCGCCGGTTACCAGATTACCAGAAGTCCGCCTTGTCCGCACGAACTCATGTTCGCTCCGTGGCCACTACTGCGCTGTACTACTTCCATCAGGGTAACGAAGGCATTGAAGTGAAAGAAGGAACCGTTGAAACCCTGATCGAGGGCAACGAGGTGTACATGCAATACGACGCTGAGTCCGGAGGTGAGTCGGAGAGGCGAGGACAGAGAGATCAAACAGCTCCGGTTGTTCACACAACGAGTCGGCGAGACATTGATTGATTGGAGTATGAAAACATTGAGTAACAGTCTTGGACCCGGTCTATCACATACCTGGGACGCATCTTAAAGATTGCCCCAATCGCCACAGGAGAAACAACGTTGTCACAAGTCTTGATTACTCGTGCAGCATTGTACACGATGCATCCGGCTTACGCAAAACATGTGATGGGAATTCGTCTTCTCCCGGTGATGTCATGCACACTTCGAGGTTTTCCGGAGCACGAAAGTGTGTGTACCCAAACTGTAGGCTTTTTCGATAGCGCAAGACGTTTCCCCTGAGATGCGTCTTCGCACCAACCTTCTGCGGGGGCACAGAAGCAATCGCGAATACCACTCGAGCAACTACAACGAAAGCAAATATCGCCATTTGTGGGCAGGCATCGGAAGCCGAGGTGACCGGAGCATCATCCGCTACAACCACATCGAAGACACGGACGGGGCGGGTGTCCGTTTAGGAGGCCACACGGTGGACGGCATTGAGTACGGCGCCAACAACCAGGTGCTGGTGTGACCTCAGGCATACACCGAGAGTTCTGAGTGTATGCGATGGAAAGGTGCCGCGGTTTCCCCCACACGGGTAGCGCTTGTTTTCGTGACATTCAAAGGCTGGACCAAGGAAGGTTCGTCCGAGGAAGTTTCATCTCACCCGAATATTTACTTCTGCCGTCAACGTGGTGGGTGTCCAACAGTAGGACGCTGCTCTCACCGTGAGTCAGATACTTCTTTGACCCCCATCCTACCTCGGTTGAAAGGCTGAATATTTCGCACCGTTACACAGACACGCACCTACCTGTCGACGGCTTCCCCAGGTCCCCCAGGAACTTGAACGCCGAGGGCGACATCGCCTCGTCGCCGATTTCGGATAGATAGTGTTTTCGAGCCGGAACATCTTCCCACGCATCGACTTGGAAGAGATGAGACGGTGTCGAGCGAGTCCACATACAACAGTCAGTGATGATTCAACCAACTCATACGCGAACCACGGCCTCCCGTCCCTCCTCCCGCCCCCCCGGCCCTCTACCTATCCGGCCCGTCCGCGCATGCAACAGGTATACGAAAACACCATGGTCAACTGCCGGGCCTCCGGAATAAAGGTCATGGTTACTCCCCAGGGTCAGATCTGCGGCAACGACATCGAGGTTCCTGACACCGATGATGACGCCGACGTGAGTGTTGAGCCCTAGATTGGAGACCGATATTTTCCCTGGCCTGCTGTTCTGGTGGGTACGATACTCAAGGGTGGCGGGGGGCGTTACGGCCATCGATCACAAGTACTTGGTGGATACTTCCTTAGAAAAAACCCAGATCATGGGGGTAGGAGCCGCTTTTCTGGCCTCCAAGGTTACTACCGAAACCTGACATATGTTTTGAACATGACCCACAACACCCGTCTCCATAGTAGAAGAGCACACAATAGGGAGTGGCAAGTGGCTCTGTTGCAGGAATGTAGCTCGGTTCCGCGTCAGTCCCCGCTGAACCACGTCCGATAATGATTGATTCAGAGAACAAGCAGGAGCGCGGCCGCCTTTGCCACTCCTCTGAGCTCCGTCTTCCTCTCTCTCTCTTTCTCTCTCTCGCTTCCTCTCTCTCTCTCTCTCCCACTCTCTTTCTCGCTCTCTCCTTGCACTGGGCGTCATGAACGCAGTACAACTATTCCGGAGGAGCCTACTACTACGACCCGTTGATACCCTGTGACTCTTCGTCCTCATCGGCGCCTGGGTCAACCTCTGCATCGGTGAGCTCGATTCTCTTATAGAATACACTAGCGAGAGAGAACACTAGCAAAAGAGAGACCGAGATACGATGGCGACAAGGCGTAGTGCGATCTACTTGTCTTGCTGGAGCCGTCCATTCGATCGCGAGATGTAGGTGTGGGCCGTTCGTTCTTTGCTCGGGTAGCGAGACTCGTCCATTGTCTCCGATGTGCTGCTTGGTATCACAACTCCAGTAAGGTCTTGGCGCGTTCTGATACCAAACGTTTCGAATCGGCTGTCATTTGCATTTTGCCGTTTACATAGAAGTCGAAGTACCCGCAGCACCAGGTAGCAGTAATCTCTGGTTGTTCCGCTCTGTTGGGACTGGAAGCCGCTTGGTCTAGTTGTATTATAGGCTCCGCTTGGTCTTGTTGTATTGTAGGCTCGACACTTGATATTCGGGCGACCATGCATGGATAGATGCGCGGGAGGGAAGTTAAACACCGCCGAGGCGTGCAATGGGCGATTCACCCTCTGGCGTGGAAAGGTTCGGTTCGTGCATGCATGTGCGTGTGCACTTAGGGGCAGGGTGTGAGCGAAGCCCTCCTCATGGGTGCAAGGCGGCGGCATGCGGGCCGCACAATATATCCGTGGCCGACGCGACCACGGGCCTTAGTTCTTCAGCCAAAGAGGCAACATTCGTGGAGTAGTGTAGCGCATAATAGGTAATGCAGAGTGCGCCCACATAGTGATACACTCCAGATGTGAGGATGGAAACGAACTACATGGAAAACAACGACTACAGTAACCCTCATAACAAGCGCGTTTCGTTGTCGTGTGCCCAGGTGACCCCGGCACCTGAGCCAACGCCCGAGGCAACGACCGAGGCATTTGCCGAGGCAATGAACGAGGAATCCTCCGAGCCAACGATCGAGTCAACAATCGCGCCAACGCCTGCGGCAACGCTCGAGCCAACGACCGAGCCAACGCCCGCGGCAACGACCGTCCCGACGTCTGAAGCAACGATCGCGCCAACGATCGCGCCAACGCCTGCGGCAACGCTCGAGGCAACGCCTGCGGGAACGCTCGAGCCAACGGCTGAAGCAACGATCGCGCCAACGACCGAGCCAACGACCGAGCCAACGGCTGAAGCCGGTGAGTATTTCCGAAGACAGACCAATCCTCCTGCCCTTGCTGTACGCTACCACTCAGTATGTTAGAATGTATGCCATAATGGTATGGGACATTACAAGAATGATACTGTAGTCCCAATGTGCCCCAAAATTCCAAACCGAACGGCACCGATACTTAGGGGAAATCGACCGCGTTGTACGCTGGGTTGGGGAGCCAAAATTCGGGTATGAGTGGGGATAAGTATCCAACCATCATGATCCACAGCAAGTACCCCACACGCACACACAAATAGCCATCTGGCGGCGGGGCGCGTTTGAAGGCCTCCCTGAAAGGGCGACGTGAAGAAGGCGGTGCAGAAACAATACAGGGTACAAGAAATCTAAGCGATCGAAAAGGAGCGCGTACACGAGCATTGGACCTATTGGCGTCGCCGTGCTATCTGTTGGGCAGTCACGCCGAAAAACATACATGATTCACAAGAGCAGGGACAACTCGTAGCGGGAGAGAGTGTTCCACACAGGAAAACCGACAGATGGTTCGAAAACGTGAGGGGGAGCCGAAACGACACTACTGTAGTTCTTGGCCGACGCCAACAATGACGAGAAAGCAGAACATGCTTGCTGTGCGAAGTATTGGCAGACTGTTCCACTAGGAAGTCCCAGTATTTTGGAAGACTGCTGATAATGCGGGAGAAGAGACAACGACAGCGACGTCTTGGCATAGAACAGCAGCAGGGGAACTGTCACCCACCGCATGGCCGAAGGATGAAAACATATTGTATGGAAAGCGTGCTATTGAGCTACAGCAGTATAGTGGGCAACATGAGTTTGGGGGAATAATACATAGCAGCACAACAAGTCCATCGAAATGAACACGAAATGAAGTAGTAGGCTGCGGTCCCGTACGTGTTATTGAGAAGCTTGGTTGGTCGCCCTGCTGCGCCACTAAAAAACAACAAACGAGCACACTCCGTTCCAACTATCACCAACATTTTTCGCGTACTTCTCGCGCCCGCACGACCCGATCTCCAACCCGTACGTTTCAAGAAACAGAGAGTACGTGTCGCGACGGCATTGAGGGCATCGACGGCCGCGTCGTCTGCTGCCCGCTCGAGTGTGGCCAGTGCGGAGGGACGGGATGCAGCACTTCTGGCGCCGCGTACGGTCTTGGCGCTGACTCTTGCTGTAGAGAACCGGTCAGTTCTAGCGGCAAATACTGTGACGACACCGGCGAAGCCCCATGCATCTACGGCAGTGCCCCCGATGCTGACGACGACGACGACAACGACGACACCAACGAGGGTGATGCTGAAGACGACGATGACGAAGGTGAACGCCATAGCAGTCTGGTAGCCCAAGCCTCCTGTCCGCTTACAGTGGCTATGTGCCATGAGCAAGGATATGCGTCGTGGAAAATCTTGATAGCAGTGCTGCCTGCACCTCAAAATTTCGAACTCACCATCACATAACCAAACCGAAATTCATTGGACTTGTCCGTTTCAAAACAGAGAGTACGTGCAGCAATGGCCTCGAGGGCATCGACCACAGAGGCGAGATCTGTTGTTCGCTCGGGTGTGGCCAGTGCGGAGGTCCAGGATGCGACGCTTCGGGCGCTTCGAACGGTCTCGGCGCTGAGTCTTGCTGCCCACCAGAGGTGCACGATAGCGGTAGATACTGTGACGACACCAACGAGGCCCCGTGTATCATTATAGCCGACGGCGACCACAACGACGACGACGACGACCATAACGACGACGACCACAACGACGACGACGATAACGACGACAACGACGACGACGATGATGACGACGACCACGACGACAACGATGACGATGAGGACGACGACGACGATAACGACGACGACGATGACGACCACGATGACGACCACGCTGCCTGAAGGGGGAGCA